GTTGTAAACTAACTCAGCTCCAGACATTTTGGGGGTTGGGGGGGGGGGCTATATGGTCAGCGTAAGCCTAAAAGATTGTAATGTCGGGACTTTGAGGGTCAGTACACAGAAAAAAAAAACAAGTTATTTTGATTTAGCTCAGACTTCCCAGTAGTTTCCCTTTTGTTTCTTTTAGTAATGTATGAGCACCCCCTCCACCCCCCCCCCCCCTCCCCTCATAGGCTAAGGAGGGGAGTGTGACCACAGAGAGATCCCCACTATTTATTTGACTCCTTAAACATGTTTTGAATGACACAAAAGTGACCCGGTGGGGAGTTTAAAGGCCACGTGGAGTGTAAACTGAGTAGCAACGACTTCTTGTTCACTGGACTCCTGCATCCGGTCACCACTCGGTCAGATCTGCTTTCTGCAGGATTTACCAGCGGGAAAGGCTTATATATGTATTTATTTTAATAGACGGATCCTAAATATGGCAAGTGCCTTTTGGGTTGCAGCTTGCAGATGCAGAATCTCTATCATTTCTCAACGTTTTTCCCTTTTTGCCTTAAAGATATCCCCAAAAAATCCCCCAACTGGACCAGATTTCCTTTAGCAAATACTCGTGAGAAATATCCTTTTTCACATTTTTTATTTGATTTCTCCAATAGTCAGATTGAATTGGACGACGTGTGTACAGTGAGATGAAACCCTTAAATCTCACTCACAAGTCATGTATGAGGTGGATTTCGGGGTTTTATTGGTCGGTGGTGAGTTTGAGGCCTGGGACTGCCTTAGGAATAAGGCACGGTGACCACAGTCCAGCCAAAATATTGGTTTTGTAAAACGAGCAGTGTGTGTTTTACATCCTCTGTAATGAGGGACGTGAGGAGGAAATGAAGGAAGGAAGGAATTGATTCACGCTATTTTATGTTCTTTTCACTTTACATGATGTGCTTCGAACTTATAATGGAATGCAAATGTGCATCTGTGTGTTGTTCCCCGCTCGATTATCCGGCGTTCCCACTCCCCTTTTTCCCAGAGATCCAGTGGTCAGGGACTTCCCACAGCTACTCTGTT